GATGTCAAAGACCTGGCTAATTCAATCAAGCAGGATACCGCGGTCTTGCCAGACGTGGTCAAGACCGTTCAGAAGACACTGTCGATGACGGTGCAGAACGAGCGTCGACAGATTCGGGAGATGATGAATACCATGGTGAATTACTTCGCACCAGTCAGTTTTTCGGAGAAGCAGAACGAAATTTTCAGCCAAAGACAGCCGGGGACAGGACAGTGGTTCATCGACTCGCCGACATTCCAAGATTGGCTCGGGTTACCGGGCGCCACGCTCTGGTGTCCGGGCGCCCCTGGCTCCGGCAAGACGTTCATCGCCTCGATTGTCGTGGACTTCCTGCAGGAATTTGTGAAGAAGGAGAAAGACACGGGGCTCACATACGTGTATTGCGATTTTCGCCGACGCAATCAGGAGCCGACAGCGCTCCTGGCTCATCTTTGGACCCAGCTCCTACGCCAGCGTGACTTGTCCAAGACCGAGGTTGACCAGCTCGAGAACGACTTGTACGCCCGTCGGGTGAAGTTGTCGGCGGCCCAGATCAATGCGCTTGTCGAGAAGGAATTCACGGATGGGAAGTTCCAGCGCATGTTCGTGGTGATTGACGCATTGGACGAATGCAACGAGGCGCAGCGAGAGACTCTTTTGGACCACGTTTCTCGACTATATCCTTGGGCTAACGTTCTCATCACATCCCGGGTATTAGGAAGCGACTTAGAAAGATTCACAGATGTGCGCGTGCTTAGGGTTATCTCGGCCGACGTCGATATGCAAGCGTACATCAGAACCCGAATCGCTAATTCGAGAAAATTGGCCGAGAATGTTAAGCGCAAGCAGGATCTAGAGGGTGAGATTGTCCGAGTAGTCAGTGAAAGAGCTCAGGGGCTGTAAGTGCTACTATCAAACAATCATGAAGCCGATTCATCACTAAGAAAACCAAAGGTTCTTGCTCTGCAAGTTGCACCTGGATTCCTTAGCCCTTGAGTCCACGCCCAAAGCGGTGAGAAAGGTACTGGAAGGCATCCCGACAGGTGACACAGCCATGAGGGACACATACAACAACGCCGTCCTGCGGATCGAGAGCCAACATCCGTCTAATAGGGAATGGGCTCTGCGGACTATTCAATGGGTCTGTTTTGCCATGCGACCACTAACTTCGACGGAACTCACCCACGCACTAGCCGTCGACCAAGATGACGAGGAACTAAGTGAAGACAACATCGTATCCACGGACCTTCTGATCGAGTACTGCGGCGGCCTCGTCGTCATCGAGCCGGAAAGCAAGATTGTGCGATTCGTTCACTTCACGACACAGGAGTACTTCGAGGCAGAGAAGAACACATCCAATATGTTCGCCGGCACGGATGGTAGTATTGCTCTCACCTGCATCACCTTCCTCAGTTTCAACGACCCGTTTCTCAACGACGACGCTACGCTGCCAGGGGTCAGAGAGGTGCATGCCGCAACGCCGTTTCTGCAGTACGCAGCCGCGTATTTCGGCCTGCACTATCACAGGATGCTATCACACCCGGACTCCGCAGACAGCGCTTTGACCGAAGAGATTTCAGATGCAATGGGCAAGTTCTTCAAAAGTGCCGTGCAAGTACACCGCGCCGCTGCGTCGGCTCTTCATACCGTCTTGAGGAAATGGCAGGTGTGGCCTGGGGCTCATCACCCTGTCGGGAATCTGAACGTATCCGCCTTAGACCTGGCAAGTTTTTACGACGTTGTCATTCCGAATGACACTGATGCAAGCGACCCTTTCACCCCAGAAGATACACCCCTGACTATCCCGTGGTTCAAGCAACACACCAAGGGGTTGACTGGCGCAGACAGACAATCTTTTGGGAATGCTCTGCACTGGGCTGCTCTCGGTGACTCTGTTAAATCCATGACCTTGCTCTTCCAGGACCCGTCCCTGAATATTGACACCCTCGAAACCAATACTTGGGCGGTGCAACCCGCCCACGTAGCAGCTGTGTTTGGCTCAGTAGGCACATTGCGAACTCTGCTCGAACACTCCGAGCTCAACGTCGAGTCGCGCGTAGGCGACAATCTAAACTGGACGGGAACGATCCTGCACCTCGCGATCCGCGGCGTAGGATCGAGTTCGGTAAACTCTAAGATAACACTGATCGACATCATCGCCGAGAAAGACGTCGAGGGCAAGCTGATCATGAGCTACGACATTTACGGGGCCAACCCCCTAGTGGTAGCCGTCAAGGAGTCCGAGCACCCCGTCTTCCAGCGCGTGCTGCGCTACTTCGACGCCATGGCTGGCAACAACATCTGGAAAACCCAACTGACAGCAGACCGCTTCTCCAAGACACCGCTGCACTGGGCCGTCATGGACCCCTCGTTCGGGTACAAGAACCGCACGGTCGCGGCCGACTCGGGCCCCCTGCTCAAGCTGAAGGCGCTACTGGACCACCCGCTCGCATGGCAGCTAATGTGGATGCGCGACAACAAGGACGACGTGCCGTTCGAGGAGGCGGTGCGCCAGAGCAATATTCACGCCGTGGACTACATGATCACCAAGGCGGCCGAGCGCCAGTGGCCCATGTTCGACCAGCTCCTCATGTCGGCACTATACCTCGCCGTCGAAGTGGCGCACTCGACGGTCGTCGAGTTGCTCCTGAGCAAAGTCGGGCCGGAGCTACTCGCTCGCCCCGGCCAGGAGACGACGGTGCTGCATCACGCTGCGAGCGGGACCTCGCGCGGAGCGATGAAGTTCCTCCTGCAGAAACTGGAGAGTGTCAGCCTGCATAATGTTCGTGATCACCAGGGGGCCACGCCCCTGCACGTCGCTGCTCTGACGGGGAATCTCGACGCCTTGGAAGCCCTCCTCGAGGTCGACGGGATAGAAATCAACGCAGAAGACGAGGACGGAGACACGCCGCTGCATCTGGCTGCGCTGAGCGATATTGGGGAGGGTTGTACGAAGCTACTAGCGGCTGGCTCCGACGCCTCAATCAGAAACAAGCGTGGCCTTACTCCGTTTGGCATGGCGTTAGAACGGCGGTCATCGAGCGCCGTCCAAGCCATGGCGGTGGCGGTGGTAAGCTCCGGATCCGAGAAACCGTGGACAAACCTGGACGAAGCCACAATGCACTGGCTGTCGGAGCAGCACTGGGGCAAACACCTATTGGCAACGGGGGACGACGAGACGACTCTCTCGTCACGTCTGCAGCAATGGCCGCAAAGCGACAGCGACATCGTCAAAGCCGCGCTCTCTCTCCGGAGACAGTTCGAGCACGCGAACAGTAATAGTTCCGAGCAAAACGAAGACACGACGACGCGGCACAGCGATCTCACAGCATACATCCTCGACCTGGCGGACTACTGGATCAAGACGACATCGACGCGGATCGGGACGAAGAAGAAGCAGATACTACGACAATGGCACCACCCCACACTCCCCTTCCTCGTCAGCTCGGCCGTGCGCGGACGCATCCGCAGTCCCGTGCGCAGGGTCGCTTTTACCATTGTCTCGCACGACCAGGGGTACAGCGACAATCCCGGCGCGGGCAGCTGGACGTGGTTCGTAGCGGAGGCCGCGCAATTCGGGGAGGCCGCGTTCCGGGATACCAGCACCAACGCCGCCAACAATAACAGCAGTAGTAATAGCTTGACGTACACGCAAGGCCCACCGATAGAGATCTGTCGGAACCAGATCGCCAAGCGGCAGTGGACGACGCACAAGATCGCGTGGGGAGCTGATGGCGCCGAGGCCGCGTGGGTGAGGTCGCTGCGGCCCGAGAATGTCATCTTGGTCAAACCGATGGTAATGTTTCCCGGGTGGGAGAACTGGGTGTATAGGGTCACGGTCGAGGTGTATACCTCTTGTCTACAGTATAGCGAGGACACGGTAGACATATGATGATGACGGGACTGATGGTTAAAATTTATTCTTGCATGGATGAGCGAATAGCGAAGCGGTTTTTATGTATATCTGAGAAACAGCGAGCATATGGATCAGTTACCATTCAAAGAGTTTTTTATAGTCATATAATCCAGCATTTAGGCGATTAGTTTAGGGATATAATTCAAGATACATACATATTTATCGTAACTACTATTGCCCACCTTTCTTAACGTCAAAAGAGTACGTAAAAACTCCCACGGCACTCTATTTTCGCAACTTCTAGTAAACTTATTGATATCTCCCTGTATGAGCGATACACAAGACCTTCAAATTTATCATTGGCAAATTGCGTATTGTCCTGTAGAGTTAGCCGGCGTCAAGGACTTTCGAATACGCCGCATTACAACAGCTCGCTAGGCAATATGAGTTTCTAAATATGTAACATATGTCGCGTTTAAAAATAAACCAAAACCAAAATACATACATATAGTTAGCAGTAACCTGGTAAAAGCGATGAGGCTACGTGTCAAGATAACAAGCATCGGTGCATGCTCTACAGTTGACTTACACGCCTCGACACATAAATGCAAGTAGACAGACACTATGAGTGGTAGCTCTTACTTGCCTCAGAGACGAGGCTTGTTGAGCGAACAGCTAAGCTGAAACCCGTATTCAGATGGCTTTCTTATTTCAAGAACAGTCTAGTTTTCGCATTGCCTCCTTTCTCTTCGCCATCTACTTGCTTATCCGGTAGTTTGGTACGCAACAAGGGCTTTGAGCTGCAGCTGCTAAATAAACAATCAGATATATTTAGACTATTACTTACTTACTATCAAGACCTCTACCAATTCAAGTATTTTCTAATTAATAAACTAAGATTTATTCAACAGCCAAACACTTTTCCAGGCTTCCGTCCAGGGTTGAGGCATTCCCCCACGCTCTTTTCACAACTGCCCACCTATGTACAGCTAGGTAGGCGGGTCCAGGTCTAGAATAACCTACTAGGATTACCCTAGCCCGTTGCACCAACCTAGTTTTGCAGATCGTTTCCTTTTTAGATTACCCCTCTTTTACCGCTCTATATAACGGTATTTACAATGCCGGATTTCACCAACAGGCGATATCCTGGCTTGGACACCTCCGCGGTGTTATAGTATAGTGGTTAGTACGGTTCGTTGTGGTTGAGCGCATCATCAGCTCCGAACAGACCCAGGTTCGATTCCTGGTAACGCCAGATATCTATCTATTCTTTTTTCTTTTTCTCATATCCATCTTCCAATTTGCTCAAACTAAATAGTTTGTTTTGTTTGTTTGCCTTTTTCTTGACATGAACTGGCAGACGTACTACATAAGTGGAATATGTTGCTGCTGTGCATTTGATGAGAAATATCCCGATATCAGACCACACTCACTGTTACAAATCAGAAAGTTGACTCGAGATAGCCGACTAATACAATCAATCCATGAATCATAGCGTTCATAATCTTCTTTTCTCGATATCTGAAAAGACGGTAACAGGTAACTACTCGCTGAGGCAGTCATACCCGCAGCAAGTATTTTAGTTCCCCCGTTCCTCTTTTCTCAACCTGAAAGCCTCTAGTATTAAACTTCGGAGGCTATCACTCGTGAGATCTATCTTCTCTTTCTTCTCCCCATCTCTCCCAACCGCTCCCTCTCTCACCTCATCTTCCGTAGCCCAGACAAAATCTTGATGTTCAGCTGGATTGAGGCGGATTTCCATCCCCCCATTCTCATCCTCCGCAGCGCTGACTTCAAACACATATCTACAGAATACTTTCGTCTTAGTACTGTTGCTAAACACGAACCCTTCTTCCCCAGGCGCATTCACTACTCTCTTCAGCTCCCTCGCCAGTAGCCCCGTCTCCTCCCACAGCTCCCGGACCACGGCTTGCAGAACCGTGGCGTCTTTGTCGGAATTGTTCGAGACAACACCGCTGGGAATCTCCCACTTCTCCGGGAGTGAATCGGACTTATCGCGTTGGATGAGGAGAATTCGGTCCGTGGGGGCTGAGTGAGAGAAAATGAGTGCGCCGACAGCGAGACCGTCCCACGGTGCGCCACAGCGTGTTAAATAATCCCTTGCGGGTACGTCGAAGGGCAAGAGAGAGGAAGGGAATCGCAAAGGAGCGGTAGAGGCGGGCGGCGGGCCAGGCCGAGGTGGTTCGCTTGACATTGTCGGGGTGAAGCACAGTCGCCGGCAAGCGAGAACAGATGTAGAAGAGTTCTGAGATAGGCGCCCAAGAAATGTCTCTATAAAGGAGCCAATTAGGAAAGCTATTCACAGTAGCTGTCCTAAGTTCACTGTCTTACTATGTATTGATCCTAGAGATTCTGGATGATGTAGAAGCGTGAACACTTGGCCCGTAAATTCATCCAATGAACGAGAATTTTGCAAGGAGGGGGCTGGCGCAAAGGGAATCTTTTGCTTCAGTAGCTCAGGGAACCTCGCAGTACACCTCTGGGGTGAATGTTGCAGTTTGACCGTCACCCCAGCAAGGGGCTCCAAGTCCGTCGTAGTAGAGGTAAAGATAAGCAATCCTTCACAAAATGATGCATCAGCTTTCCCTCGAAAAGGTGTCAATGAGCGCCCCCAATTCAGGTGCCAAGAGACAAACCTGCATGGCCACCGCTATGCCGAACGCAGAGCTGAACGCAGAGCTTTGCGCAGCGTTGTCGACCTAACTGGGCAGTACACCTGACTGCTTGCAGCTCCTCATGCAAGGTCCTGTAATCGTGTCAAGCCTTCGTACCTAGTTAACTGCTCGGCATGCTTGTGGCTGCTCCTCCAAGGCAGAAAAGTAACATGGGTGTAAGGTGCGCCGCGCCCGACTTATATGGCATAAGCGAAAGAATTGCAGATGCTGTTTTGATAAGGCTACATGGAATATGTTAGTTTCCTCAAGGAGGTTCAGCTGGCGTTCAGCCCCTGAATGCATCTCAAGCGGACGAGTCCGAACTACTTAACCATCAACTTGTGCGAGCGTAAGCTTCAAGTTTTGCCACGGCATTTCTTTTGCGATTTTAAAAGGATTTCTGTCAATTGGTGAAACCGATGGCGCCGTACGAGTATAGCACTTTGTGCAATGACCATTCTATCCGCATTCTTACACTCTTTGCTGGTTCTGGTGATGATCCCCTGTGCGGCAGGCTAACCGACCTCAACGTAGAATATCTCGATACTGAGTATTATGAGCCATTATCTTATGTCTGGGGCGACCCTACCCGTACTCACAGCTTTACCTGCGACGGAAAGACGCTCGGGTTGACACAAAGCCTCCACCATGCCCTGAAACGATTACGAAAGACTGATGGCAACAGGCGAATCTGGGTCGACCAGATTTGCATCAACCAGAACGACTTCACAGAGAGGGGAAAGCAAGTCCGATTCATGAATAGGATCTATAAGTGTGCCGACCATGTGCTGGTCTGGCTAGGCAAAGACGAGGAAGGGGTCGCTGATGTGGCATTCGAGCACGTCCGGGCACTCGCTGAGACGTTCGCCGACCAAATAAAGTACGAACAATTTGTTGCAGACCATACAGGCGAGAACATCAAATTCCGGTCTAATAAGGATTGGGCTCCCATACAACACTTGACGAGCCTGCCATGGGTGAGTGGGTGAATAACACGCTTTAACTACTTCTAACCGGTTGACACCAAATAGTTTGAAAGAGCCTGGATCGTCCAAGAGATCGGTACCACCACTCCAGCAACCCTCCTCTGGGGATCGTGCTCTATGGACTGGGAGACGCTGTACAGAGTCTGCGATTGGTTAACCGGTTTTCACCATCTGCGGCGGCATTTTAATATCGACACAGCGAAGGTGAAGTTTGTCTTCCAGCGCTTCGTGCCACCTGACTTTGCAACACGCCATGCAAACCGACTCAGCTTCGTTTACGAGCTGCATCGTGCCCGACACCTGAGAGCAACGGACGCCAGGGACCGCGTGTTTGCGTTTCTGGGACACTACTCCGTGGCCGAAGGCGAGAACAAAAACCTGCGCTGCCTCGAGGCGAATTACGATCCTACGATATGGCCGGTCTCCCGGGTATATAGTCATGCCGCGGCCTGCGCGTTACGTGGTGGCGGAGCCGAAGGGGGCTTGATTGTACTGGGAAGCGTGCAGCATCTGTCCCTTCCGTCCACGTACCGAGAATGGGATGAGCTCCGTCAGACAAGTGACTACATCCCCTCTTGGGTCCCGGATTGGCGCACTTACACATCGCATATCCTGTCCGAGCCGGCCTCGCCTCACCGCGCAAGCGGCCGCTTCTCTAGCCAGAGCCTTAGGATCGAAGCTGGGGAGACGGTATTGAAAATCAAGGGAGTTTGCATAGACATCATCATCAAGGCTTCAAACCCTCTCGCACCCAAAGCATTCCATCAAAGGGGTGGAGGAAAGGAGCCACAAGTCGACACCCTGTGGAAAGAGGTGTGTGATCATGATGGTGTCAGCGGCGCCCTCTTCAGCCTAGACTATTTCTATCCTGCCAATAATGGGACGAGAGGACCAGCCGTCCTAGCTTACATGCAAACGCTCAGCAACGGAGGGGCGGCAACAGCGCTACGCAGACGAGACACTCACGGCCGCCGCAGCGACCACGGCGCAGAAGCAGACTGGTACCACGGAATCTCAGACCAGGAGTGGCTCAGCCAGGCAGCAGCATACCTCGTCCGTGCCGGGGATAGAGAACACGAGGAAGACAGGACGGTGATGCGTATGCAGCCGGAGTTGAGGACGATTGGGGCCCGTGCCATTGCCGAGGCTGCTGCCGTATCTACGGACGGTCACAACAAAAGCAACGGCAGCCGTGGTCATGAAAGTCCAGACGAAGAATGGTCCCGCTCGGCTAACGGCGCAACCAGCAACCGAGTCTTCGCGCGCACCGAAAGGGGTTACTACGTCCTCGGACCCAAGGTGCTGGCGAAAGGCGACATTGTGTGCGTGTTGTGGGGAGGCAGGATGGCATTCTGCTTGCGCCCGCTGGAGATGAATAGCCGAAAGGTGTACCTGTTGGTGGGAGAATGCTACATCCACGGATTTATGAAAGGCGAAGTGAATGACATGGTGGATGATGGTACGCTTGAAACACAAGATTTCGAGCTTGTTTGAGTTGCTCGCTTCAGGTACTTAACAGCTCGAGATTCAGTTAGTATAGTGGATTATCTATCTCCATGTAGGTACTTAGCTGTTTTTGTATGGGTAGGCGTAGCGGTAACTTTGCTGCTTCGTTTTTTTGAACGGTATATAATACGGCTTATTGCTTTGAACGGTAGATTTACGGCTCCATTTTCGAACGTTTTATTTTTGAGCGGCTTTAGTTGAAAGCTGCTTATTATAGAAGCTGCTTATTATAGAAGCTGCTTATTATAGAAGCTGCTTCAAATCTAGAAGCCGCTTCAAATTATAAAACGCTTTAACCTAGTGCTATATATACGCAGTTGCAATTTTATAGGTTTAGCAACGGCTGGAAAACGTTTTGTTAAAGTGTTAGACTATAAACCAAATGCGACAAAATTCCTAGGTACGCTAGGTGTGGTAGGTTTGGTACGGCTAGGTCTAGTATGGTTAAGTTTTGACTAGGATATTTTTGTAGGTTAGCTGGCTATAGGTGGGTTGGTCGGCTGTAGGTGGGTTGGCTGGCTACTTATAATACCTACCTACTTTATAAGTAGGTATGGTAGAGCGGCTTTAAAATTTTGAGCGCTTCAACCTGTTGGAGCTGCTCCTAATACAGAGCGCTCCGTTTTTGGGAGTGCATACTTTTCCCCTAACTTTTACGGAGCGCTCTATATCAGGAGCCGTAAATTTGCTGTATATATACCGCTCCCTAGGCCTATATAATGACAGTATGGTAGATTCTAGTAGATAGGTAGGTACTGTAGCCTAAGTTTTCCCTTGTGGCTTGGGCGGTGCTACATAGATGCTACGACCAGCCACGATCGTCGATTAGTGTACTGTAGATTAGGTTCGGTACCATTTTAGTTTCACGTATATAATCTTCCAACGACTACCAATTGACGAAGTTCAATCGAACCAATAACTAAGTTCGGATCTTATTGCCTAGACTAAGTAGCATATCGGATGTTAATGTAAGTAGAAAACTTATAGAACGCGCGAGATTCGCTGGTTGCCACCGACCTGACTGCTAATGAGGGGTAATTAGGACACCTTCAGCGCTCGAATTCATTCCGTTGTCCACTAGAAAAAAA